CAAGAATTATTTGTTAGGCTTTTATTGATGAAGTTGTAATTTTTGTGTGTAAATATGAGAGAGAGCAACAAAAAGTTCCATGTGAATCATTCGAATGTGAATTTACGTAGCGTTTTGTTGCTTTCATCTCAAGTTGCTCTTAGTGGCTAGAATAAAACCAAGTAGCGTTTTGTTGCTTTCATCTCAAGTTGCTCTCAGTTGCTAGAATAAAACCAGCGCGCGCATGCAGATTTGATCGAACTAGCTTGAACGAGCTTTGTACGCGAATGTTCTGTTTGTTCACAGCTCCGCCAGATAATATGTAAATTTTTGTTGCTTATAACAATAGAAGATGAAGTTGGAAGGTATTGATAAATAGTATTATTTATCATTTATGTTTTCAAGTCAACTTTTTTTTTTTAAATGTTGTCCATTGAAATTGTCACGAAATGCCAAAAACAATGCTGTTTGTGGTAATCCAATAAACCTGGCAAAAGGCAAACATTGATGGACGGTAGGAGGACCATAGATAATGGTGTTTGTGGTGAATTCTTAAAACAATTACAAGCAAAATTCCCTACGTAATAACGATTGAAAAGACTCCCACGACTTACATACCTATCAACTCACTATTCTTATCTCAACCCAACATGTTCGATTCCGGATTAGTCGATTCTCCTGTGGATTCGAAAACCGGAAGGTCCCTGTACCAAAAAAAAAAATAAAAAATATTTCTCTCTCCTCCACATAAATTACTCAATCTTCCAACTTAATTTATCTTTATCTCCAATCCAATTCAACCTCAATATTTATTTTATTTTAATTTATTTAAAAATTACAATTGTGTTCTAAAATATATCAATAGTGGTCTTTATTTGTAGAGAATAAAAAAAAAATATGATTTTTGGTATTTTTTTATTGTTTTTAAAAACCAAAAAATACATTTGTCCAATAAAAATGGGACTAGTACCCTAAAATTGTCCCCCCCAACCGGTTGTGACCCAAGGTCACAGACCTGGGTCACGCATTTCTTTTTTTTTTTTTTCTT